GGAAAAGTAGTAAATCCTTTCTTTAGCAGTGCTTGAAATGCTAGATGTGTGGAATAAAAACATAATAAAATTATTATATGCATTTGACTTGTTAGTGCAGTACTACATTAAAAGCTCTGGTAGGTTGAAATGTAATTCTGTCATGACAGTATGCTTTAGATAAACCTCAAAAAGCTTTCTGCTTCACTACTGATTTTATTTATAAAATAACAAAACAAAACCATGGCAAACTAGTCTGTGAACTTGTCTGAATGTATTACTTTTTCTTTCAAACAACAGCAGAATGAAAGCTTGCATGTGTCTGTGCCTACCTCAAGATTAATCTGCACCATTGTTGTATGAGGATTTTATAGGTCTTAATTTTCAGGTGTTCCAAACATTACATTTTATGACTTTACTGAAAGTTGAGGTATGCCATGGTGTGATTTTTATATTACAAAAGTACAGAATACCATGAAAGAATAAGTGATTTCACACTATTTTAAAAGTGTATTTTTTGAAATAAAAAGTTTCTGTGTCTGTCTGGGTTAAAAAGATGAGCAGTGTATAGGAAGTAATGTTTAAGTTTATTCAGTTAAGGCATATGTTATGCTGTGTAACCAAACTTATTTTTATAACTTTGAGATTAAATGGGTTGTCAGTGTCATTTAATAGCAACAACTTCTGTTCACAGTGTGTTAGAACAGCACAAACTGACGAAAGAACAGTGGGAAGAAAGAATACAGAACTGGCATGAAGAGCACAGGGGAATGTTAAGGTAATTACTTAGAAAATGTTCCAAGACCTGTAAGGGTTTTTTATTATTATTATTATTATTATTATTATTATTATTATTATTATTTATTATTATTATTATTATTATTATGTATTTTGGGAGACTTTATATTTGTTTGGAAACTGCTTTCTTTTATTCTGACCAGGGTAGGCAGTTATCAAAAACTTCCATGAAAGCTTTGGTGAGAGCTGAGTTTCCAGTTAGTTTATTGGCTTACCTACATGATTTCTGGTAAGGTTGGCAACTGCCTTTGTCTACAGTTGCCTGCCTCTAAAATACACTTATTATTTCCTTAGCTCATGGGGTGAAAAGACAGAGTGATGACTGAACTATACCTGGTTATTAGGATGTAGCGCTCTACAAGTATCTGAATTGATGTACACATAAATATCAAAGAAGAGAGAGACTTAATTCCTAACTAAATTTTACACTAATTAGTTGTTCTGCAGTTCTTTTGTTCTTACAGTATACTTTTGATGTGTCTACTGTATGCCATTTTTTTTTCTTCTTTCATCAGGGAAGATTCTATGATGGAATACCTTAAGATAGCACAAGACTTGGAGATGTATGGAGTCAACTATTTTGAAATAAAGAATAAAAAAGGAACTGAATTGTGGCTAGGAGTTGATGCTTTGGGTTTGAATATTTATGAACATGATGATAAGTAAGTGGCTAATACTAATTTTGCAATTCTGTCCTAGGAGTTCCTATCTGAGGTTAGGCAAAAAACACCTTATTGTGTGTTCAATAACATCTAGCAAAACAGGTTCTCAAAAGACCTTCTAAACTATGTAAAAGATAGAAAAAGAGATAGATGTTAACTGCCAGAATATCTGAATTTTAAGGATTAAATAAGGATGCAAAAGAAGAGAAAGGAAGAGCAGTTCTGTGTAAATGTAAATTTACGTTGCTTAGTATGGATATGATAGCTAGACCATCTTTATATGGCTTCTTTCTGTACTTTTCACTCCCTCAAGCCTTCTTCTTCAGTTAGGATGATAAGGATGTTGAGAGGCTGAGCAACATATTTAATGAGAAACATTTTTTAAGAGCAGTTAGAGCATGAAAAAAACCCCATTTCATTTAGAGCTGTTAGAGCATGAAAAACTTCAGCATCTAGAACTGAAATCCTTTAGACATTAAAGGAAATAGATGAATCTCGTGTCCTGATAGAGATCAAAGATTCTGTCCTACTAGAAGAGGGATAAAACTGAGAAGTACACAATTTGTAGAATCTCATGAACAGAACAGACTTACTCTTTTGTTTCTTTCCAAACACTTAGTAGTAGTGTCTGAGGTCAGCAGTCCTTTCACAGTGATGTGATGTGTTAAACACCAGGTAACAGGTGTTAACTGAACTGAAACTTGATGCTCTTGAATGTATATACTCTGTAACAAAATTCTGTAAGCCTTAATTGCCATTAGATGGCAATAGAACTCCTGATAGAAATATTCAGATCAGATTGAACCATCAACCAATTTTTGGTTTTCTTTAACTCCTGATAATTAGCAGTCAAATACTTCAACATTTTCTAAGACTTGTAATTAAGATAATATAAATTGAAAAAAACTTTTTGTGCTCATGGAGAAAAATATTTACACTTATGCAGTTGGTGCATAACACTGTAATTGTTTATGAACCAAATTTATTTTACTCAAGATGCAAGGGAAATAAATTTAACTTGAACTTTGGAAATGTAAGTACACATATCTGAGTTAAACCAAAGTACAGCATTGCTGAAGGCTAATTTAATTTCAGTCTTTGCAATGTCAGACTTTTCTCAAGTTCAAGTAGTTATTCTTTTCACTGAAAATAAAATTATCAATAGCTTATAAAGGATCAGTACGTGATTATGGTGTTTAGCATCTATTTAATGATAGTAGAATAAGTCACAAATTGAAATTTCTAAATTCCTTCCGTTATGGTGCCATTTAATTTATTCATTCTGTAATTAATTTATTTGATGGAATAATGTGTAAAAAAAAATAAATAAATCGTGTACCAAAATACACCTCAACTGTTGTGTTTTGTAAATGAAACCATTACATTTAGTGAAAATGGTATGAAGTTAAGACTTACTGAGCAAAATGAAATTAACATCTTTGCTGCTTCTAATAAGAACTTTTTCTCTTTGAAGGCTGACACCCAAGATTGGTTTTCCTTGGAGTGAAATAAGAAACATCTCTTTTAACGACAAAAAATTTGTCATAAAGCCAATTGACAAGAAGGCCCCCGTAAGTAGCACGTGGAATAGTGTGCCTTTGTATGAGAAGGTTTAAGTCTGCAGGGACTTGCTGTGGCATTGTGGCATGAGCAAATATTTTGTGATGTTTTCTGTTCTTATTGGTAGAATAGTCCATAATAAAAAGAATTTATTTTTTTTTTATTATGGTATGTTTATTTTATCTCTTTTCATTCTGGTTGATACCCCTAAAATTTATTTTTAGTTTAAGTCCACTAATATTTTGTGATGTGTTGAAAAACCACAATGTAAGATGCTAAATTCTCTGGCCCCCCACCTCTGATTTTCTTTTTTTTTTTTTTTTAGTATTACAGCAGCATATTTCATGAGACTTTCTAGGTCAAAGCTCTTCAGAAATAGAGTAGAGAATAGTCTCACTTCTGTAGAAGTTTAAATAAACAATTTTGTGTAAACTAGCTAACCTCTATGTGGACAAATCCAGGTGTAATTTTTGAATTTATCTTGCAAGTTCCTTACAGTAACTAGATTTATAGATTATGGTGTTGGATTGCTCAGAGTATGAAGGTCAAATACTTGTAAGTTTAAAGTTAACAAATGCAAGCATGCAGTAATGCTTTGAGTCTTGTCACAACTGTGGTTTTAGATTAATGGATATGCTGCAATTATTTTTGATAGGATTTTGTTTTTTATGCACCCCGTCTGAGAATTAACAAGCGAATTTTGGCACTGTGTATGGGAAATCATGAATTGTACATGAGGAGGAGGAAACCTGATACAATTGAAGTGCAACAGATGAAGGCCCAAGCTAGAGAGGAGAAACATCAGAAACAATTGGAAAGGTAATTAACAAACTTCCATGAAACAGAAAAAAAATTCTTCTACCCTTTTAAGAAAACTTAAGTCATAGAAAATCAGACATCTTGGCATTCTAGAATAGAGAGCTGCTTTTCTTTCTGTGATATGTGAGCAGGTTTGTGGATTGGCATGGCTCACCTGTCTTAATAGAAAACCGTATCTTTTTTGAGCTTTCAGCATCGTAATAGTAGCTGTACCACTGTTTCTCATTATGTTTTTGTGAAGCAGTCTTAATTCTCTGTTGCTTGATTCCTGGGGACTTTTATACTCTACAGGTGAACCGTTACAGTAAGCGCAGTGAAGTGTCACAACTTAATTTCTGTATATTTTAAAAAATACTGTTGCTGTTTCTTGCACAGATGAAACATCAACCCTCTCTAAAATGCAGGTATAATTGTGGATTTACCTGGTTGAACCATAACCAAGGTTACTAATCAGGTCTGTGCATAAATTGTTTCTTTGTATAGTATTTTGAAACAGAAATTTTGTGATTCTTGCATTGTAAACTGAATTTGAAACATTTACAATAACGTGCTTCTCTACTAGCTTAAGTAAAGTGAAAAATAGGCTACCAGAATCCTTAGAGTAGAATTTAATCTGTTTGAGGTTTAAAAAAATCCCTATTACTATTTTCAGGGCACAATTAGAAAATGAGAAGAAGAAAAGGGAAATAGCAGAAAAAGAAAAGGAAAGAATAGAGCGTGAAAAGGAAGAATTAATGGAACGCTTAAGACAGATCGAGGAACAAACAATGAAAGCTCAGAAAGGTGAGCTCTTACTGGTCCTAGATTTCTTATATCTGATGACAATGGTTTAGTTCCACAGTTCTCTTGGTATATGTTTTTTGGGGGTTTTTGTGGGGTTGGTTTTTTTTATTAATTTGTTTTATTAATAAAAAAATAATTTAGTGGTGTATTATTTAATTTTAAAAGATATATTATTTTTCAAGGTTAAGAGTTAAAAGCTGGTGTGTTTTTGGGTGTGTATATGTATTTATATTTGCAATATAAACCCAATTCCAAATACAGAAAAAGGTTCAATTTTCTTTAATAAAAAGGAAAATTAATGTGTACACAGTTCAACTGATAATCATGAAATGCCTAAAGTGCTGAAAATGTGGAGTTGGAGAGAGCAGGCAATATAGAGAGGAAGATTCAAAGTACCTCTCTAGGGTTTTGTTGAATTTAGCTTTTCATTTGGAATTTGTTTTTCTTTCATTTTCCTATTCCCTTATAAGATTTGAGAATTTTAATTTTAACATCTTGTCAGATGTTTCTGAATACACGTAGTTTCACTCATCACAGTTCTTTATGTTGAACCACCCTGTAGAGTCCCCGACTCCACTACTTCCCAGTCCCTCTGCTCCATGTTCCTTTTTCGGTTCAGGTTTGTTTCGCATTCATAAGAGTTCTGTTCCTCTCTTTTGTTCATAACTGTTGGCTTCAGACATGATGGAGAGAATCACTGACTAAATCCATGTGAATAAATTACATATGCCTGACACTGCTCTCTAGTTCTACCCCTGTATTTTTCAGTCTTTCAATGCGGAACAGGTTTAACATATCCAGACAGGTAACACATGAACTGTGCTGTGGAATTGTTTAAGGGAGAGCTGTGTAGCCCAGGACAAAACCGTGCCAGGGTGATTCTAGAGGTTTAACAATGAACGTTTTCTCATATATTTCGTAAGCAATATAGTCTGGTACATAATATTCATGTGTTTTAGCCTTCTATTCACATATGGAAAAGTGTTTCTATAAATGGTGTCTGTGTTCTGTAGTTGACTTGGTAATTAAGTGTTCTCCATCTTCGCAGGGAGATTTTGTTTGTGTAGTGTTTAAATATTTATGCATTTTATTTAAGTACTGCATTTGTACAACTCCACATAATTAATGCTGTTCATTTTATAACTGAAGTAGTAGACTTGGGAAACCAACTGAAGAATATTGATTACATGAGACCTACTTAAAACTAAAAGTGCAAAGATTAAGCATGTGTCAGCATACGTGGGGAGATATTTTTTTAGTATGAAGGCATATGGAGAAGAGCAAATGGGTTGTTCCAATAACTGAGCAGTTGTTTAGGCTTTCCCATGAAGGAATCTATGGCAGCTATGCCTAGACAGCAACACAGTGGAAAAAATATCATTAGAACCAGCAAGGAGCTTCAGAAAGACTTTCTTCATAGTTGCTTCATTTTGCACATCAGGGTATTTTTGCCTGTGCAAATCTTACCATGCAAGAAATTATTATTTCTTCCTATTTCATTCATATTGGTGTTCTGCCCTTTAGCCTGCAATGTTTTGCTAACAACTATTATTCCTCCCTTGATTTAAATTTTTCCTTTTTGCACCTTTTTGGCTCTGTTCTATGGAGAATTGTTCTGACTCTTCCAGTGAGTCTTAGGTCATTTTGCTGGAGGCACACGCCTATATTGTCTGTTGCAATTAAGGAATCTTTGTCAGGCATTTCAATAGAGTAGAAGACATTTTGACTTTTTTACTGTAAGAGTATGATTTATTTTATATAAAGTCTCTTCAGTAGTAAGAGTGAGGGTGTATGTGCATGTTATATAACTATATTTTGGTGTTTAGTTTTATCAGGGAGGTGATAATTACCTGAAACAGTAGGCTGTCAGAACTGTCAGGTGAGATGAGGTATTTCCAGACTATGTCTTAAAGAGGTGGGGGGGAATCAGACACAGAGCGTAGCTTCAGGTAACACACTCAACAGCTCTTCGTGGCTTGAGGCAGCCTTGTAAATCTTTGTCAGCTTTCTAGGTTACTTTATTTTCGGCATGTTACAGCTGTTATCTGTATTACATCTGAGGAAGAGTTAGGTAGTGTTACCTTGTCTGCACACTTTCCTTTCGGCAGAGCTAGAGGAACAGACCAGAAGAGCTCTAGAGCTGGATCAAGAACGAAAGCGTGCAAAAGAGGAAGCAGAGCGCCTGGAAAAAGAGCGTTTTTGAGCAGCTGAAGAAGCTAAAGCTGCTCTAGCCAAGCAGGCAGCTGATCAAATGAAGAACCAGGAGCAGCTAGTAAGAAGCTTTAACCCTACTTTGAAATAAATTTAACAAAGTACTTGAAAATTTAGCCTTTAATTAATCTTGGTTATATCTATTTTGTCAAATGGTCAAATACGTTGAAACACAGTTAAAAGTATGTGAAATACTGTTACAGATTGTGGGAACTTGTTTAGAAAGCTACTTTGGATTTGCTACTACTTGCAAGAAAAAAATTGAAACTCAGGGGCTGTAGGAAATTAAATTACAGAATCACAGAATGGTAGGGGTTGGAAGGGACCTCTGGAGTTCATCTAGTACAACCCCCC